CTACGTTTTTTCATTTTTTTTCTTTTAATCAAATGACCATTAGATGGAAGAAACAAAAGAGTCCCTACGTAACACTGTTAAGCTTTCGTTTAAGAAACAAAACTGAATGTGTTTCGTACTTTGTTTTTCAGTATTTAAAAACGAAGTTCGAGTTTGCAACAGGAAGAAGAAACGGCATACGAATCTGAGGTTTGTAATTTTGGGAAATTTTGAAGACCAACATTTGCATCTCATTATAAATTAACAAATATTTAAGTAATTAATGGTCAATAAGTACCACTTACCTTTTGTGGCTACTCAATATTCTTCGTGAAAATGATAGAAAATGACCCCACAAAAATATAAACTTATATATGTTCAATAAATTTTTTATTTGAACACGCATTAAAAATTGGAAAAAAACAAAACAAAAAAAACAAAATTTAAACTGTACTTAATTTCTATCGGTTTTGTGTTTGCCAAATTACGTAGGTAAAAAATAAGGGCAATGTTCGTCAAAAATTTTAATAGCATCCCTTTCCACCTCCTGCTGGATACGTCACTGTAAGAAAACTACCCTACGCAATATCTACCAAAAAAAAAAAGACGGCGATTTGTGTTACTACCTTATATTTAGGTGTTTTTTTTTCTTATACATTTAAATTTACAATGTCGGTAGGTTGAAAAAAGAAAAAAAAATAAGTATATATACTTAATATATGTATGGAGCAAGTGAGAATAAAGATCTTCAAAAAAAAAATAAAAATAAAGTGCTAACAATAATGAAGTCATTTTCCGTAATAATCCCTAAATTTTGAAATTATTTAAACGATACAATAGAATATAATAACTATATAATTAATATTAATTATAATACAATACATTACACATCATACTCTCAGCAACAGTTTTTAGAAAAATATAGGGAATTAAACTTAACCATGCATTACGATAATTGTTGCAATTATTATTTTTTTTTTAATTTTTTAGTATGTACAAGTAGGTTTTAACAGGTGAGAGAAATAGTGCTGAACTTTTTTTTTGCTTTCTTTCCTATGTATGTTTTTGTAGTTTTTATAATGCTACTGTTTCTAGAAATACGATACATTTTTGAACACCCCAAATGTTTTTATTTTTTGAAATTAAATAAACAATTGTGCAAATAATTTATTTCAAGAAAAGTTAGGCTACGACAACGATAAACAAAAAACGACCATCAGTATTAATTTTTGTTTTTATCCAACAGTTGTTAAGAACAAATGAAGTGAAGAAGAAACAAAAATGTCACTACTACAGTTGTGCATTTGTTTTCAAAAAACATTTTAGAGTGTTCGTATTTTCTTTTCTTATGTAAAAATTGATTTTTTAACTAGAGGGAGAAACACCGTGCAAAGCTTGAATTTATTTTAAATTTGTTTATTGTACGTTGGTGGAGATAATCATTACCGATTTTTATCAAGGGGTAGCTTCGTTTTGATTGCAGCTTTGCAAAGAATTCGTCCCTCTCCACAAAAAATTATATTTAATAACAACACGTACGTTTATGTATAGGTAAGTAGACAGTAGAAGCGATCTGTAGAAACACAAAAATATTTTGGTACCTGTGACATGCTATTTCGGGGTGGGTAATTTATTTAATGCTAACACGTATGCAGGTCGAACGACACAAACCCTGCTTTCGGCAAACAGCACAGATTGACTTCAAATTTGTACTCTTTTTCAGTTATTTATTATTTTTTGTTTCTTTATAATATCGCAATATACAAAAATAGAAATTATGTATAGATAAAGTGCATTGTGGCCATACTGGAACTACCATTTCGTAATCACCTCGTTTTCTTAAGACGGAAAAATCTTCAGGTCTTGCCGAAAGTAGGGCTACGATGCTACGAAGATTATGACGGTATTGGTGGAAGTAAGAACGGAGGTTTTCGGGGGTGAGGGGTATTTTTTCTCACGTGGCAGCCTTTCACCCGTCAGTCTTGATCAAATCACACAAAAGACGCATGTGCTCCTTAATTCACTCACACACAGCTCACACACTAACACACAGAGAGAAGACTTGTACACAATTTACACAAAAAAGAGGCTCAGTGTTTTTCGCTTTTTCTTTTCACTCGTAAATAAAACTCATCTTCAATACTCAATCTAACATTGCGATCCAAAAAATTCAATAATAAGTATATAATATATTCTCTTTTTTTTTTGATAAAATCTCTAATATAGCACCAATAAATTTTCATGAATAAATTCGTAGTTTTAACACGCCTTTGCAAGGCAATAGAAAATAGAAAAAAATTGCAACCGAAAATTTTGAACGTCAAACAAAAGACAACCCCGAAACAAAAACTAAACATCTAATAATTGTTCTGTCAAATAGTTGAAAAGACAAATCAGAAAGTATCATCTATTCTAAACGGGAAGTTTTTGATATTCGTTTCGAAAATGTACTTTTGCATTTTCTTTGCAAAACATAGAACCCTAATGTAATAACACAAAACCACACAACCAACTAACGTCCAAGATGAATTTTATTTACCACGACAACATTGTCTTGGGTCACAATATTCGCACGCCCCTATCAACGGGACACTTAAAAAGGATTTGTACTTTGTATGCTATCCAATAGTGACAGCCATGACGGAAAAAGAGATCAACAAATGCATTTAAAGCGCAGCGAAAATTATCGAACGAACTGTCGATCACCTCAAAAAAAAAAAATTAATCGAAACAGTATAATATATACAATATATTCAAATTCAAGTAGTCGGCGAGAAAAATTACAATTTTAACAAGCACTCGAACGTATCTGCAATTGTTTTTGGCTTTTTTTTTTAAACAATCGAGCGATTAGATTTTGTTCGATAAATTTCGCGTTTAATCCGCCATTGAAGCCACGTTTTTAACCTAACAACACTGTACAGCACGTCGTTCTTTTATACACAATATTAATAAGATGAATATAAACTCCAAAGGAGCTAGATCGTGACTTGGTAGGTGCTACGAGCTCTGAACGCGTTACCTGAGAGCGCACTAGCGTTTGTTTCCACAATCGGTACTTTGTTCAATTGTTCAGTAATAATACAAAAAACAATGCCGCTTGCTTGTTTTCGCCTTTTTTTTTAACGATACTATCAACAATTTATTGAGAATGGTAACATTAATTACAAAAGTGTTACCAAAGAAAGTACCTGAATAGTTTTCTGCCAAAAATCGAGTAAGTATATAGGTAAATTGATAAAAAATATCAATATCAATTCTCAGTCGGTGTTGCCAAACAAATTTAAAACAAAAAGCATAGTTTGAACGTTTTTAACACATTAAACACTAAAAATAATATTTTTACAATTTAGTACAGCAGTTAATTAACTACGATACTTTAACAACGTTTTTGATAGTTCACCCAACATCATTATGATCACGGTGACATCAATAAAGCAAATTAATTTTGACGCATCTTAAGTAGGTAAGATTTGGGTCATTTAGAAATAGTCAGCTAGTTGCAAGGGAGAGAAATGTTGTTTTGTTTTTCTTTAGACGAAGGAGGAAGAAAGGCAATGGCAAGAGAAAACGCCAAAACAAAATAAATTGAATCAAGCAAAATCATACATTGCATTAGTTATATGGGTTCGGAATTTACTTGGCAACACAAAAACCGACAGACAGAATTCCCACGGCCTCTACCATATTAACAGTATTTATTGGATGTGTAACACACGACGGTCAAAGCAGTTACAAACTGCCCTCGTAATGTAATATGTAGAATTTTTGCTTCAGTTCAGACAGATGACCGCTGTGAATGTGGCGCATCCCCCGAAAATCCCACTAGTTATCGTTTTCCGTTTCTCTTTTTCTTGCCAATATAAAAAAAAAGAACCAAACGTGGATACTGTTGGAAGCAATTGTTTTACGATTCGCCGCTCCACTGTTACGATAATAACAAAAATTATTGCTCCTTTTCGATTGTTTCGTTTGTGTTTTTTTTATTTTTGTGTTTCGTTTTCGACCAAAAAAATATCACATTCACGTTGCGTTCGTCGTCTATCCGAACCGAAATCAAATATGTATGTACATATATATTAAACGTGATACATCTTCTTTTTAGGTACTAATTAATTAATTAATTGGATAAAGTATATACAATATACATAAATAATTTATAAAGTGAATACGACAAAGTTTTTTACTCTCTCTTTTAGTTTTTTTTTTTTTCATAGTTCCGTTCGTTAATAATTATTATTATTATTATTAATCATATTTTTATATTATTTGCGCTCCAAGTGGGTGGCATAATGAGACACGCTGTTCCATGACTAGTCTTCAGACGCGTTGAAAAGTAGAAGTAAGAGTAGAAGAAGTATTACTTACTTGGGGTGACAGGAGTGGTGGTAGGTAGTAGAAGTATCGTCGGTGCTGCTCCTACTGCTGATGGTCGACGGTATAATATAATCCTACATATTATACCGAAACAGACGACAAACGACGACGAGACGATATTTTTTTTTGTTTTTACTATGTATTGTATTTATTTATATTTTTTTTATATGCTTATGTAGGTATGTATGTGAGATGGCCCTGGACGCGTCCTCGGCCCCCTGCATCTTTCATGCCCCCCTTTTGCGGTGCCTACAGCACCTCCATTTCGGATAGGGTGAGTCCTAGACGCCTGGTAGACATCGCGACGCCACTGTCACTTGACCCAGACCGCACGCTTTGGTCGTCCGTGTCACTTTGGGTACTAGTATAACCGATCACGTCAACCTCGTCTGAAACAAATGAGGAACGCATCACGAAATTTTCTTAACCACCCTTGAACAATCCATCAGACGCCCTAAAGCTGCTCTGCTTCGCTGACCCACAGATATAAAAACTCAAACAAATGAATATCGCTTATTTGTCGATGCGTTTCTATTAAAGAAATGAAAAGCGATTGCATGCACGAAGTTTTTCTAGTGGGAAAATGAAAAGCATTGAAGCTATATTGTTAACAACCAACAAGGAAAAATCACAACAAAACGATTTTTAAAAAATCTGTTCAAATTTATTTTTTGTCGTTGTAATAAATTTTAACGATTACTTAGTTTTGTAACGGTAGCGTTTTTTGTTGCCTGTCATTAATTATTTTTAATAGACATGTCGCTCGCCGCTCTCGGGGTTTTTTAGTTAGGAAAAAAAAAAGGAGCCGTACATTTTTCAAACTCCCATCAATGAAATTTACCGACCAAAATACTCGCTGACGCAAGGAACTTTCGGACGACATCTGGCAGCGGGAACGCCCAAATTCAACCTTGCCAAAAACGATATTACTTGGCATCAAATCGGACATCCGTTAGTAAACAACTCCTTTTTTTCAGGCCACTGTGTCATTTTACGTACTCATACGTTTATTAACATTAACAAACAAAGATACGCTAGACCTCACCTATTTGCTTCTATCACTTGTCTCAAAGAAAACAAAACTGTACGACAAGACCCCAAAAACAATATCTAAACAAAAGAAAGATGTAATTGTTTATAACACTTGCCGATCTAGAAACAGCAACCAATCTACAACTTTTGTTTTCACGTACTCGCGACTAAAAAATCGCTGTGCGCGCTGGGCCTTAAGAAAAGGGGAAAATAATAAAACTGATCAATGTTTATTCAGCTGACTGAGTTTGTCTCATGCGCGATTTAAAAAACGAATCGAGGGAAGAGAAAAAAAAAAACGACTTTATTTAATAGAAAACATTTTATATACCACACACTTGCGTACGCAATGTGACGATTACTTCGCGTTCATTATCCCACCAGAAAAGAAAACCGTTGCCCGGTGTCTATATTTAAAAATGCTGGTCGACATGTGGGGATAGTAAACCGCCAGCGTAAATTTTGTTAAAATAAACAATTTCACCAGCTGTTTGTTTTACGAACGATTTCTTCAAGAGAGAGACTCCGGAAACCTCCACCAGAACCAAGACCAAAACATAACAAAATCATAAAAAGCACGCTAAGCTTTGTTGGGAATAATCTTTATGCAATCTACAATGAGAAATTTCAAAAATTTTTTTTTTTTTATTAAAAGCCTTACACTTTTACGAAGGTTTTAGGCTATCAATCATCGCATTCCGATCGATCAGGGCAGAGCAGCTATAAAAAACGTAAAAGCATGTGTACTGTAAGTGGGGCTCACCGGATTCGGATATAGGCGATTCCATCGAAGAGGGTGTCGACGACGTGTTCGAAACGCTGCTCGACACCGTAGACGTCGAACATTCGGACACGGAACGACGTTTGTAGAGGGCTTGATGCTGCACCGACAGCTGGTCCAGTCTTCTTCTCAGGTACCTTTGTTCACGACATAGTTGCTCCTTATGGAGATAACTCCTTCGTTCTTTCTCCTCCAGATTCTGTAACAACAGAAACTTATTTTCCTGGAACCGACCGAGCTTTTTGATTGTAGATTATGCTTTCTAACCGAAAGAAATGAAGATCACCTATTTACATAGTAATACAAATGAATATCGGCTGTTCGCAGATGTTTTTCCAATCAAATAATTGAAGCTCGATTCATTACAAATGTCTTTACCGGCAAATAAACCAAAAAGAGTTGTTTGCAATTGTTTTTACTCATTGTCAAACAAACGAAGTTAGGTTTTCGTAAACCATTTCTCTTAGAAAATGACGCCAACTGCAATGATAAATCAATAGGATGCGACATAGTTACATTGTAAGTATCATATTTATTATTTTTTATTTGCTTTGACTTTTTGGACTGGCGATAAATGTCGTCGACAATTTTTATTTAGTGTCAGGTCGTATATTTTTTCCCGTTGTAATGGAAGAAAAAGTAGAATTTACATCATTCCATTTCCATGTTGTAGAGATGAGACGACACAAAGTTATGCTAATATGTGTGCTAGGTGACGCTTTTTAGAAATAGTAAAAAATCGATAATAGAGATAAGAGTCAATTCGAATGATAATTATTCTGAAATCCTTTGTTTTAAGTCGACTGGTTAGCATATCAGGAAGAAACACGCAAAACAAAAGTGTGTCGAAAAGAACAGGGCGTACCTCACACACAACCAATTACAATGCTCGGTTGGCAGCGAGAACCATTAATTTTTACTGTACGTGAAGGGCAATTTTTCCAGAGAGGTATTTCTGGCATTCAATTTTTTTCCTACCGATAGTCAGGGGTGGAAAATGAGACACGCCAACCACACCGTTAGGTTTTCAGTTTCAAAAAATATTTAAAAATTTAAAACAATTCTGAAAAACACATCAAAAATAATATTCTTGTCTCTTACTTTTTTCTTCTCCTGAAATCTATTTTCTTTTTTTACTTGAATAAATTGCACCCCGAAGGGTAATTTCCAGTTTCGCCCGGAATTATTTTTCAGCGACGTTTACGCCATCGTCATCACACCCCTTGCGGAGGAGGCGACGCGGCGCGATACGACATCGCCTGCCTCTCGATCATCCGCGACCATGTACCTTACCATAGAATCGATAGAGACACTAAACACTGTCACAAAATTTCGGTGCCCAAGCAGGAAGGAAGTAAACAAAAGAGAGGCAACGTAAGTTACGGAAGTCAACTTCCCCTCGTTAAACAAATGAACACATAAAATCGTAGGGTAATAAATGGTATGTAACGATAAGCCACCATTTAATAACTTAATGCAGTCATCACATTCACTCAAACAAAACACGAAAGTTTCTTTCTGTACATTAAACAATAATCACGAACTACAATGCATTAGAATTTGATTAAGTAAACTTGATAATGTACCAATTAAATAAACAACAATTTAGCATTAAAACCCAATTTCCTTACCATATCAGTGAAAATGTGTTGCACAAGAAGTCACATCAAATTAAAAAACCATAAGTAGATAGATGGTCACAGATTAGATACATGAACAGCACGTAAACAAATAAAAGTTTGTATTTATTCAACTGTTTATTATTTGTCTGTTTCATGAAAAAATAGAAGAATAGAAGTTTTTTATTCGTTTGTTATGCTGATTGAAATTATTGTAACAAAAAAGTGAAGTGAATATGCAGAGGCGAACAAATGAAAAACTTACCTTAATAAACCTCTTGGCTTTTGTTAGTAGTCCTAGCGTTGTGTGCCGTGAGGCTTCAGGACCTAATGGCACAATATCTTTTAGTTTCTCTAGACAATTCCTAAGATGGGCTCGTCTAAAACAATAGAAAACCACAATTAGACCTCATCAAATTTATTAACAGCAGTATAGGATTATTTGCAGTAGATGAAATAGTTTCTAGAGGGTAATGAAATATTGTACTTATACAAGTTCACAAATAAATAAACACTTGAGCGATTCCAAAATTGAATTCTCCACTTTCTTTATATATTTCTTAAACGACGGCTGTGGAAAAACAAAATCGCTTCACGTATTGCGAATATATGAAACGAAAAGGGAAACCCTCGGTTTTCCATTCCTGGGAAATTACTGAATACACACAGCTAAAATGTACGTACACAGGGTGATATAAATAGTGATGTTTGTAGATGCTTATTTTACAAACGAAGATCGACAACCGATGCAGATGTTTTTCTATACCTTGCTCAAAGAAATGAAAATCAATCTTTTGCGGATGTTTTTCTGCACAAACGAAAGAAAATCGGTTGTTGGTGCATGAAAAGAAATGAACATCAATCATTTGCGGATGTTTTCTAACAAATAAAACAACTGAAGAGTATATTCTTTTATACATTTAAATAAATACAGTATGTGCGTTATTTTCTGTCACAATTATATTAAGTGTTTAAGCAGGGTGAAATGTTTCTATACCCCACCATCATCCCTCACTCATTCCCTTGATGACTACACAGATAATAATAGGTACCCTAACTTAGGTATAAAGAAAAATACGTTTCAAAATTCTCCGAGCGGAAAATTAAATTCAAGTCTGTTTTAAATTTCAACGTTTAACTTAATAGCGTAAATTGACAGCGGCAACTTGACATTATTATTCAATTATCCTAGTAGGACGAATTGCGGGTTACGGCGACCGCCGTCACTGCAACGTAATTTGACTACATATTAAAATTGGTCTTCTTCTATCCTTCAACAGAATCGATGAATTTTATGCTTATACAGAAGCTTAATGGGTACCTAGAGGTGGCTCATGTTTCTGCTTTTCTTTTTCTTCTTCAGCCTTTGTAAAATAAAGCCCAGCGGCACAGTAGCAGTCCAGCATTCGTTATTATTATTATTCACAGAGTCTCGGCCGACTTGATTTATGCTCGTCCGTTTGTAACGTGCCCTTTCTTATGTCATTGCTGCTACGTATAGAGCGTTTCCTGAGCGATCGATCCGTTTTTCTTTCGTTCAATAAATTTCCTTCTGTGAAAGGCGAGTTAAACTGACAATTATCTGCCTGTCGTCAGGCAACATACTCTGGAAACAAGACACGTATGTATGTCCGTCTACGTAAAGTACACGCAGTATATCGCAGGAAAACATTTGCAAAGAACAAATTCCGTGTCGACGTAAAATTGTTTAGGATTTTTGTTTTCCTCGTAACGAACAGCTTGTGTACCTACAAACCATTAGCTCGGCAAATGATGAACAATTGCCAGGAAGCATTTTCCACACGCCTTCAAGAAGGCTACGGCTTCATTTTTCGGACAAATGCTAGCGAAAAGCGACAAACTGTTGATGATGGCCTTTTGTTCTATAGTATCGATTGTACTCTGTTTTGTTTTGTTCTGCCCCGTAGGTATATCGTCGTAGCGTATCACAAACGGGAGCAATAAATCGTTGGAAAAAACGGCTTTGATGGGAATTGGTACAAGTGAAGTGTGGAATAGGCGTATGGCCGGTAAATAAAACGAGAAAAAAACATGGCATAAAGCCTGCAGCGGACAGCTGCTTTTCTTGGGAAAAAAAGTCTCGTACTCTTCCAGTACGTAGTGCAACGTTTCGTTCGTTCGCTCGCTCGTTGCAATAAAACATTGCAATTTCGACATAAATCTTTCGCGGATCGGCCGGCGCAACACAACATCGTGCACCACCACCACCACCACCGTCATCGATGCCGCCGCCGACACTTTATTTATGGAATTTTCCTGGCCAGCCGTTTAATAACATCAGAAATCTAATTTCGACGTGAACGCGACTTGTCAGTATTACCCACATTGGTACATTTTATCTGTACGGGGTGATATAAAGAAGGATCGTTTCCAACATTGCTGGCAGATGTCAAACAAAGAAAGAGCAATTACTGGCAATTGTTTTCCTATTCCAATAATATAACATTTGCAGTAAATGAAGTTCAAATATTTTCTCATAACATTGAAACAAATGCCTCCAGATTTTTATACTCAAACAAATGAAATCAGATATTTATTTATGTTCTTCTTTTCGTGGTACACTTGTCTCCATTGACCGATTCTTCAAAAAAAAAAAAAAATTAAAAATACGTATGTACCAACATATTTATCATGTAAATGTATGTAGGGTACCTATGATAAAGCCACGATGACAGGGCTAACGTCGTCGACTAACAACAACTAATCTATTGTGCGAAGTCGCTCCAAGGGCTTCCATTGTCTTAGCCAATCAGAACAGACCCAGCCAAGTCCAGGGTCTCTCTTGTTGTCCTAACAACAATGCAGCAACATCAGTGAACTGAGAAAACGCGACCTTATACTGGGGTTGCATTTCAATATGTTACACAGCTACATATTACGCATACAGAGTTTCCTGTTTCTCGATAGAAACAAAAGAAAGAAAAAGACGAACTGACTAAGAAAAATGCATGTATTGGATGACGATGTAGATTACAATTAAACTTTTATTCACAATTTCGGCAATTTTCGCCATTTTCCTTCTTGGAGAGTTCCGGAAAATGTATAACGTATAGTTAACGACCAACAACATTTACGTAAGTCCACGCGAGATACAACTAGAGGACATGATACAACACTGTACAAGGTCATCCCACGCCATTAAAAACAAAAGCAATTCGTCACACACACACACGTATACGAACACGCGGACCGGTAAAAGAACACTAAATAAATGAAAGACAGAGATAACATCACCAGGGAGGTGTCGTGGCGCCAGCATCAGTTACATTCTTTATAAATGGTCAAAAGTCAAAAAAATTCGGCAGCTGACGCAATCTGTGAAAATTTCTACATTCTACATTTTCCCAATCTGAACAACTGAAAGGATAAAACAATTGAAGCTGCAGAAAACAACGAGCAAAGAACCAAAACTACAAGAGCACAACTGTTTCGTTCGTATTCGTACGAATGCGAGAAAAACAACAGCCGCAAACAAACCTTCATTTATTTAATATTTTGTATTTGTATTTGTCCAATAAATAGATCGCTAGATGGATTTACCGTCCTCCAATAACGTTTCATTCGGACAAAATCGGTTTCGGCCAGATCTGTAACGTGTACCTACATGTATACATACCATTATCGAGCTCGAGCTCGTGCCCTAAAGGACGCCAGAACATAGGGATAACTATGCAAAGGATTAGTTCAAACAGGACGTCCGCCGTAACGATCTACACGGGCAAATCCCTTATGGGGGTGATGGCGATGATACGCGGTAGAGAGCTTGGCAATTTCGTCGGTAAACAGTTGAAATTGGGGGAAAAGCGGAGGACGAACGGGGGAGTATGATACTTAACGTGAACAACCCCCTGCTGGAACATCCTTTGCCCAGCCAACTAAGAGTTAAGGATACTTTAATTATTTACGACAAAGTAAATGTCATTATGTAAATATTATATGTGTATCTCAGCAATCAGAGGACAGACACTATTCAATTATTTTTATCATTTGTTTTTAAAAAAGTAGAAAAATAAAGACACACATTTATAGTAGATACTGTTGAAATTATAAATCCATGGAAAGCAAAATAAACGTAGAAAAACTTGGAGTTTATGACAAAAGTTTCCAAGGTTTAAAAGACAAAATAATTGTTCTAGCATATTACTTATAACGGTTCATAAAGCATTAAAGGAGCAATCTTAAATCACTTTTTTCAACCGTAATAACTGAATCCAAGGTGCTAGTAGCCGACGAACCGTACCATTATTGTTATTATATACATATTTAAACAAACACGTGATTTTTTTGCGAACAGGGTCGTGTAAATTTTCCTCAAAGTGTAAAAAACTGCGTACCAGTATTCATAAAAAATCATTATGGTAAATAGTATGACCTAGGTGAATGAAACTTAACTATAGACTATAACGAACATTTAAACGACAGTAATAATTACAGCAGGGCTCACAGTTTATTACATAATTCAATAACTTTACAATCACCGTAACTATTATGTAAAACAACTGACGGTTACGTAATTCATCATCGATCTGTGTCTGTGCCTAATATAGACATAAATATGCAGGTACCTACCCGCTAAACGGGGAAGTAAGTGTTAATTATAGGTAACTGTTTTTGGCCAATTGTTTGAGGTCAACTGTTTTGTGTCAGTTGTTTGAAATCAACTGTTTCTGATCAACTTTTTGGTCAATTGTTTTGAGATTGTTTTCTGTCAGTTGTTTGATATCAACCACTTCTATTTCAATTGTTTCTACTCAATTGTTTTTAGGATTTATTGTTTCAAATCAATTGTCTTTTTCTTTACAGGAAAGAAAGAACTTTCAATACGCGTACCTACATGAAAATTATTCAGACCTTTCTCTCCCCTCGCGATCAATTCCTTTTATCGAATGAATAAAGTATTATTTCCGGTTGATTCCAGTCAAGTGAAGAAATGCTGCCGAAAGAAAAAAGGAAAGACGATAAAGAAAATGTCGTCTTATCTGTAAAAGAGATCGCGGTCACCGGGGTCGGCGATGTCACGGTGCCAAACGGGATAATAAAGCAAAGGGGGAACCGAATTAGATCCGAAAAAAAGTGGATGATCTCACTCTCTCGTAACGGAACAATAGAACTCTATTGTCAGATTGACCGATCACCCCTATTGGTTTCGAAACCAAAGTGTCACGTAACAAGAAGAACATAACACAAAAAAAAAAGAAGGACGTTGACACTGACGACAGGCGTCTATTATTTTCGTTCTTTTTATTAGATATATGTAGTGCCGCAGCCCAAGACAAAACCATTGTCCAGGAGTTTCCATGAGATGGGTACTATTTTTTTTCAGATTTTTATTTGTGAATCTGCCTAATTAAAAATTTTA